AAGCAGTATTTAAGGAAGGAGGAAAGACAGCAGAATCTTAAGCGCCTAATTCTCTTCTAACTATACAAAGAAACTATCCTTTCCAATTCTATCAGTAAGGAAAGGGAGGTTCACTTCCCTAGATCACTAAGCTAACTGATGGCAGAAATAAGAATACTGACATAACACTGACTATGTATGAGGTCACGTTTGCTCTCTTTCCTCCACACACCGACTTTCACAGCAATGCACAGCTGCACAAGCAAAAACTAAACGCCAAAGTCTGAGCACTAGTCTGTCTCTCAGTTTTAGTTTCTGAAAAATTAAAGGATTTGATTGTATTTTGAGGAATCCCTTCATATTAAAAAAATCTGATTTTTTAAATTACCACATATGGTAATAAGCCCACAAAAAATTAGTGAAGGAAACTTTTTCTATTTAAAAAAAAAAATGTGAGCCGGGCGGTGGTGGCACACGCCTTTAATCCCAGCACTCGGGAGGCAGAGGCAGGCGGATCTCTGTGAGTTCGAGGCCAGCCTGGTCTACAAGAGCTAGTTCCAGGACAGGAACCAAAAGCTACGGAGAAACCCTGTCCCGAAAAATAAAAAAAAAAAAAAAATGAGAAAACGTAGGTAAAACCCTTTAAGATTTATGCACAGGCTAGGACTTACTGAAAACTACTCTAACAGCAGAAATAATCCCAAGAATTAACAAGTGAGATTACCTGAAATAGAAGCATAGCAAAGGAAACAATTACCAGAGTGAAGACACAACCTAGAGAATAGGAAAAGAAATTGCCAACTGTACTTCAGATGGAGTTACCTAGATTATATAAAGGACTACAAAAACCAAATCCCCACAAACAAGTCCACAAATGAAGAAATGGTTCTCAAAGGAAGAAATACAAATGGCCAATAAATACCCTTAGCCATTAAAGAAACGACTTAAAATGCTTTCAGGAGACTGCAGAGATCGGTAAAACATCTGCCTTAAAAGTATGAAGACACAAATTAGAGCCTGGTTTGAGGGTGGTGAACAGGTAGACCCTAGAGCTCACTGGCCAACTAACCTTAGTCAAATCAAGGAGCTCGAGGTCCAATGAGAGACTTTATCTCAAAATACGAAGTGTATAGCAGTAGGAAAATACCTGAATTGGACTACTGACTTCAAGACTCTGGTTCACCCCAAGGAGAATGGCCAGGATCAAGAAAACAAATGACAGGCGGGCAGTGGTGTCGCACAACTTTAATCCCAGCACTCAGGAGGCAGACAGGTGACCATGTGAGAGAGAGGAGATCTTAGGTGGGGAGAGGGTGAAAACAGGGTAAAGGAATACGGAAAAAAGGCAAATGCAACCTGGGACGAGTGAGGTCAAGGCCACAATTAAAATGAGGAGCAATAAAAACAAAGTACAAAGGTATATATATATATATATATATATATATATATATATATATGGAAATGCCAATGCCATTATAAAGCCCACTACTTTATATGCTAACTTTAAGGTTGAATCACTATCACAAATACCTTATTTGCAGGGAGGGGGTGTCAGGATTTCACATTACCAAAAGGACATTAGTAGTAAGGAAAGAACTAAGAAAATTGCTGAAATCAAAAGATAACAATTCTAAGTACTTCAAGAGGAATTTTAGTATCTAAATTCTCAATGATTTGTGAAGAACAGAAATCTGCTACTACACAGATGGACACATTTGTCACTCTGCCTGAAAATGCAGCCAGGCTCCCAGGGGCACCTCACTACCCATCACTCTCCAAACTCACCTAACCCTTTACAGGCTTCCTAAAAAAGACTCAATATAGCTTGACTCAACAAAGTCCTGTACGACCTGGCTCGTCTCCCGTCACTAACCATTTCTAGTCTTCCTTTGCTCTCCTGGCTCGTCTCCCGTCACTAACCATTTCTAGTCTTCCTTTGCTCTCCTGGCTCGTCTCCCGTCACTAACCATTTCTAGTCTTCCTTTGCTCTTTCAATTTCTTTCATTACTTCCACACAATTTTACCCCACCTCATTTTTAGGACATTCATACAATGTGCTCTCCAAAACCTAGAAAGCTGCTCTTCATCCAAGCTGAGATCTAATGTTACCATTTCAAAGAAGTCTTTCTTGACCTCCACCCAATGCCTCTCCAAAGCATTTTGGACTTCTTTACCTCACACAATACTATAATTACTTGTTCAGCATCTGTCTTCCCTAACAGATGAAAACCTTGCCACATTTCCCACTCTGACTAGTACAGAGTAAGTACTTAAAAGTTTGCTAATACATTCACAATTCAGGTTAGTTCAAAAAACAATAAACAAATCAAATAATACTTCACTATCATGATAGCTAAAAACTATATAAAGTTCCCTTCATATAGTTTTTCCTCAAAAAGTATTATTTTATAATTACATGTCAACACTAAGCAAAAAAAAAAAACAAACCAACTCTTTACATTAAAAAAACAAAAAGACAGACACCCTGTGGTGGTGGCACCTGCTTCTGATCCCAGCTGATCCCAGCACTTTGCAGGCATTTCTAGGCCAACCTGGGCTACAAAGCGACCTCCAGACAGAGCTGAGTTGGAGCTGTTATAACTGTCTTGAAAAATCAAAAAATGAAGAGAGGGAGAGAGGGAAGGAGGGAGGTAGGGAGGGACAAAGGACCGAACATTAGAAATCAATGGGGGACTGGGCGGTGGTGGCACAGGCCTTTAATCCGAGCACTTGGGAGGCAGAGGCAGGCGGATCTCTGTGAGTTCGAGGCCAGCCTGGTCTACAAGAGCTAGTTCCAGGACAGGCTCCAAAACCACAGAGAAACCCTGTCTCGAAAAACCAAAAAAAAAAAAAAAGAAGCTAAATTGTACAATGAACATTAGAAAGGGCCCCTGAGTAGACTCTGCTAGCAGTAACTGTTTACTGTAATCATGAACTAACAGTAACTGAGTAGTGCTCCATGCTTTTCTTTAATTAAAAAGCATACACACTAAGAATATATATATATATTTTGTTTTTGTTTTTTCGAGACAGGGTTTCTCTGTGGTTTTGGAGCCTGTCCTGGAACTAGCTCTTGTAGACCAGGCTGGTCTCGAACTCACAGAGATCCGCCTGCCTCTGCCTCCCGAGTGCTGGGATTACAGGCGTGCGCCACCACCGCCAGGCCAAGATATATATATTTTAGGTTAGTGAAAAAACATGAACTAACAAAAAAAAGTTGGTTTGAAACATACTAATTACAAACAGGGCAGTATTTTGGATTTCCTTTATGTATATATATATTCATTATTTTCCCCATTTTGCAAACGGAAACATGCACCGAGTTAAGCGACTTATCCAATATTATACAACTCGCCGGAGTGGTAGCTGCACAGTTCAAAACTATCATTAACCTCGGGGCCTCCCTCTCACCTGTTTGATATGTTACTTTGCAATCCACTGAAGACAATGTCTTTTTTATTTGAAGGAAGAGGGTAGTGAAGATTTAGTCTTTGGCTCTGCATACCCTCCAGCTCTCTGAAATAGAATTTCTATACCATTCTGGTCAACTATTTTGCCACCTTGCCAAATCTAAGAGCTTCTAACTTACTGTACTGATCAAGTTAATAATAACTCCACCCCAGCCTTCTATATCATCCATGCAGCTGTAGAGTTAACTTTGGGCATCATACTTGATTTTCCTTTCCCTATCTCCCACATCTGCTCTATCAGCAAGTTTTCTCAGATCATTGTGAAGTACATTTGGTTCTGACTGCACTAGCATCCAATGCAGTCTTTCTCCAATACCCTCAAAACAGCCTCCCTTCATTCCACAAAGCAGGCATCTTTAAAGTCAAATCAGTCCTGCACAGATTCAAAGAGCCTATCTTTCACTTATGTGTTAAATAAAATCTTAATTCCTGATCTTGATCTAAAAGCCCCCATATGATTTGGCCCCTGCCTGCTTGTAATTTCACTGTCTTTCCTCCCTTCTCTACAGAAACCACAAAGATTATGTCTTATACCAGGCCTTTCCATTCTTCCGACTACCACATCTTATCATCTTAGTTTGTTAAATATTACTTGCTCAGACAGCTCCCAGCAAGTGCTGAAGCAGCCCCCATCCTAACCACATATACACGATCCTCTACTATTAAAATGGTTCAAACTAGCCATACCTGAAATGGTATCTTACTGTTAATCTGGGAATTTTAAAGTTCTACCCAAACCTTCCCTCAGCACACTTTAAAAACTTAAGACGTGTATTATATGGGTGAGCTATCTGCCGCTGCATTGTGTTGTTATTGTAAATCAATCATACCGAAAAGAAATTTATCTATGCTGTATTTTGCATTTAACAAATCCACAAAACATTCCTAAAAATTTTCCATCTAAGACATTTCAACAGTCGCACGAACTACTACTGAATTCCCTCCTTAAACTGCTAAATATCCCATATGGATAGAGATTTGACTTTTTCCCTTCTCCACGTGAGTAGGGCGTGAGTGGAACAGGGGAGTTCTACTGGGCACATCAGCACCTGTTACATCTTCCACCAGTTAAAAGAGGTGCGTATGAGCCAGACACCACATGGAAGACGTGGCCTTTCTTTTAAGGGATCGTAAGGGAAACCTCGTTTAAACTCGGACTGCCCCCATAAAAGCCATTCACTTCGCTTAAAGAAACAATGTCAAATAAGCTACGGCCAGGATCACACGCTAGCAGCCCTGGAGAGCGAAGAAACCGACGTGAAGGCCCTCGGAAAACACAGGTGTCTGGGGAAGTTTGCCATCAGTCTACACGTAACGGGAAAACAAAAGCAGTAGACAGCGGTGCAAAGATCGGTTCAACGACAAAAAACAAGCACAGTCCCAGCCTGGGCGCCCTCGATTAGGTGGAGGGAGAGGAGACAGCAGAACCCTAGGACCCCCGTTCTTCGCTCCGGCCCCCACCACGGGCACTTCGGGTCAACTGCACCGACCTGGGCATCTGCCGGAGCCACCCCCGCCATGCCTGCAAGGACAGCTCCTCAGGGTACTCACATGGGCTCGAGGGTCTTGCTGAGCCAAGACTTGAGGGCCTCGAAGTTTTCAATGATCATCTTAGAAACCATCCACCGCGGCCCCGAGGCCGGTCACACTCCTGCGCTCGCCCAGGTCGCGGCCACCACCACCGCCGCCGCCCCCTCCTCCGCGCGCCGTCCGTCCGCGTGGGCCGCGGTGGGAGGTGCCGGTGGCAGGTCCCCGCGAGCCGAGCTCGCCCAGCAGCCCGGCGGGGCCGCCGCAGGCCGCGCGCCCACCTGCTGGCCCGGAGCTTCCCGTCGGCGGCCCCCGGCCCGGGGCTGAGGCAGCAACGGTTTCCCCGGGCCCTCCCCCTTGCCCGGCTCCCCCCAATGAATCTTCCCGAAGGACAGCCGGACGCGCTGAGACCCAGGCGTTCCTCTCAGCTCTGGGGTTAGGTGCTTGTTGGCAACGCGGCAGAGCAGGAGTGAAGGCGGGCGAGAACGGAGCGCGGCTCAATGGGAACGGTTCGGGGGTCTTCCCGGCTTCCAGCACCCCCAAGAAGATGGCTGCCCGGCAAATCTCGCGAGAATTAATTCAAGTCTCGCGGTGAGTCCCAGGGCATGCTGGGAAGAGACGCAAGTTCGGCGGACCGTAGGCTGAGCAAATGCGGTGTTGTGTTTTGTGTCTGCGTGGGTAGAGGCCCTGGTCTCTTTGTACCCATCGGCCCGCGTAATGAAGATTCACAAGCGCCGTCGTATTTCACAAGGAGGGAAAGGCCACCGACTCCCAGACATTTCCTCTAAGAGGATTGTGCCTGTGTGCGCGGGAATGAACGGGCAAGAAGCGGGAGCCCCTTGAGAACGCGGCCAGCCGTCAGTCCCGCCCCGTGCAGCCTGCCGTAGCTACCTCAGCACCCTCCCAGTACAGTATTCCTGTGTGTGCTGTCCTGTGCACACGATGCATAAAGACAGACCGCTCTGATGCCCACCGAGACCTCCAGAGGATTAGTGTCAGGATTTTGTGGCATAGGTCTAAGGGCCTATGCATGTCCCCCCAATACCTTGATGAGGTCTAGCCTAGCTAAGGGCAATTTTGTTACGCTTTCAGTTCTGGTCACTTAAAAAAGACTCAATACTTTCTCCAAGAAGTTACAGTGTACCAAAGCAGAGCATGTAAATTAGCATGCTATATGTCACGGGTGACCCAACATGGTTTGATTCTATTATATAATATTAAGAGACTAGCAAAGACTATAAAGTCCATGTAATACAAGTGAGATGAAAATAGTTCACAAAAAGATTGTGAACCGTAAAGAAATTCTTGGTGAGATAGAATTATAATTCGCTGGAGTGCAGTGTTCTTTAAGAATTAACTGAGATTGTAAAATACAAGCTAGATGTTTGCTCTAAACGACAGTGTCTTAAGTCAGCCGTTAATTATAATCAAGCTACTGATTAAGTGAGATAATCCAGATATGAAAAGATAAATATGTCTTTATACAGGTTTGTAGCGGAGCAGGAGACACAAGAGTGAATGGCAGAATGGGAGGCAAAAAGAAAGGGAGCTTCGGAAATACTCTCAGTGATACAGAGTTTCAGTTTGGCATGATTAATAGAGTTCTGGGATGGATGGTGTTGATGACCGAACAATTTGACTATATCTAATGCCATAAAGTTGTACATATACAATTATTAAAATGGTAAATTTTGGATTACATATAAAATTGATTTATAAATACTAAGCTGCTGCGAGCCATGTGTTTCTGTTTAAAACCACTATAGGTATCGTTGATTAATCGATACTGAGCTCGTGTTCAATGCCACTGTACCACATGCTTGAACAAAGCCCTAGAATTCTCGTACTTTTCTCTGGAAAATACGTCACACCCTGGCTTTTGGTTTTTTGGTTTGTTTTGAGACAGGGTTTCTCTGTAGACCATGCTGGCCTCGAACTCACACCTGCCTCTGCCGCCCAAGTGCTGGGATTAAAGATTAAAGGAGTATGCCGCCACCACCAGGCTGCACCACCACAACCGGACTCTTGGGTTTTTTTTTTTTTTCCATCACATCCTTTTTATATAGGGACAATGGAGAGTAGCTCATTGTTGCGTATGGAGTATGGGGCATTTTAAACAGTGACATCATCAGCAAAAAGCTCATAAATGAGGAAAATAAAACATGGCACCAAACAGATCACAAAACGGGCACTTGTTTCCATTGTGTGAACTGTGAAAAGGATGTTTTATAGCCCCTTGTCCAACCTCAACTGAGAACACACACATCATTGAACCTGAAGCTTTATCCACTCAGGCTTTGGCCACAGTTGTTCACTGCAAACCCCAGAATGGGTCTGGGATTTACAGATAAATTCTAAAGGGTAAGAAAACTCACGAATATAAAATATAAACTCTGTGAGTGACAAGGATCAGCTGTATTTCCGAATGAAAAAATGAAGCTTCCAAGAAATGTCCCTTCACCACCGAGAGTAATAGCAGTTCCTCCCCTTCCGTATTACAGTGCTTGTTAGCACTCAGCCTTTAAGTCATGGCTGCCCCCGTGCTTTGCTGGCTTATGCAGTTACTCAGTCTGTGTTACTTCCTTCATTTTCTTTAGACCTCTCTTCAAAGACAGAAACTTGGCTAATGCAGTAATAGTACTACTCGGAGAATACTAACCACCAGCATGGACATCTTAGAGCTCGGCATTTGTTACTTCACATTTCCCAAAGTGCATTGGTCTTTCAAGATCCTGTCAGTATTAATGCTGTTCCTTTTGCACAGAATAGTGTTCCTCATTGCTCACACTCCGTCTCCTCGTGGTTTTATTTTTTTATTTTATTTTTTTTTTTATTTTTTGGTTTTTCGAGACAGGGTTTCTCTGTAGCTTTGGAGCCTGTCCCAGAACTAGCTCTTGTAGACCAGGCTGGCCTCGAACTCCCAGAGATCGGCCTGCTTCTGCCTCCCGAGTGCTGGGATTAATGGCGTGCGCCACCACTGCCCGGCTCCTCGTGGTTTTAATATGGTTTTAATAGCCGTTTAGTTTCTAGATGTAGAATAAAAGTTAAATTTTTTATTTTCTAGTCTTTCTCATCTTCAAATATGCTGAGGATCAAATTAATTCCCTTTTCATCTTGACGTAGCATAATATCTGAAGCAACAAAAAATTGTCAAAGGATATTTGTTGCATTTTAAGCAGAAAAGAAACAGAAGTAAGAGGAACAGTTTCAGTTACTCCTGATAATGATACATTTTCTACAGGTTTGTATCATTTTATGCTATTTTGTCTCCAGTCATCTTTCCATCCCCCACCCCTAGGAGTAAGCCGGCTTAACTTCTTAATTCTTTCCGTTACTTCTTAATTCTTTCCGTTTTCTTACATAGCTGGCGAATATAGTCTGATCACTCTCAGTAGTGGTTATAGAGCCTTGTTTAAAAACTCAGGTTGTGCCCGGGTGGTGGAGCACGCCTTTAATCCCAGCTCTCGGGAGGCAGAGGCAAGCGGATCTCTGAGTTTGAGCCTAGCGAGTTCCAGGAGGGGGGGGGGGATGATCCTCCCCAAAGAAAAACCCACTCTGCATTTCAAGATCAGAAAGATAGTCTATATTTTCTTCAATTCCATCTTACCCCCCTTCCTCCTCTCTAGGCGCACCTAGAGTGGTGTACCCTGAGATGGTGGGAGGTTGATGTCAGCCTCCTTTTTTGCTCTAGAGCTGAGCTAGTTTTTCTCTATAGTGCCCTTCAGTAGCCCGTGGGAAATGTTATTTATCATGCATCACATTCCTATTTACACTTGACTCAGGTTATGGCTTCCTATTGAGTCCGTCTATTTGTCTATGATTACACCAGTTACTGTGTTGTTTGCTTTCTGTTGCGTTAATACTTCTCTGTCCTTCTTTTCCAGATTAAACCCAGCAAAGGAGAACGTTTAATCTTCCAAATATGTAGACATTCAGCACAGAAGAAGATATAGATTATTACGGCAATGCAGACGAGGAAGTCTCATGTCTAGCTTCTTATTTTTAACTTGTTTAGCCATGCCTAGCTTCTTTAGGGATATGAAAAATTTAATGATTAAGAAAGATGACTAAGAAAGAAAGTAGCCATGTGAAGCCAAGTACAAAGCAGAACATTTCAGTCCTATCTGACAGCTTGTAGGATGTTGCTGGTACGAACAAAGCCAGACCTTTCTGTTTGCCTGCTCTCCTGTTTCTTCTGTTTTGGTTTTAGAGACAGGGTTTCTCTGTGTAACAGCTCTGGCTGTACTGGGACTTGCTCGGTAGATCACACTGGCCTTGAACTCACAAAGATCCACTTGCTTCTGCCTCCAAGTGCTGGGATGAAAAGCATGCACCACCACCACCTGGCTCAAAAGCCAAGACCTTTAAAAAGATGTAAGAAGTAGGAAAGTATGAATGTGGATGGAGGAGGAGAATGACCATGGGTCAGCTTTGAGATTTAAAGGGTTAACAAGATCTCGAAGCTCCTGAAGAGTGATCAGTATTGCAGGGCAAATTGAAGTCATGAGAACACCTTCACCTCCTTCTTGGAGCTGAAATCTGAGAACAGGCAAACTGTTCTTCAGCATAATAATACCAGAGATTTTGTTTACCTAGGAATAATGTCAAGGTCATATTTATAAAGGGAATATTTTAAGGAATATTTTAAAGAAACGAACAGACCTCTGAGAAGGCTGGAGTTCTGTGAGAGCAGAGACTTGGCCTTCTGAGGAACGCCGTGTGTTCAGTGCTGGGCAATGTGCATAACACGTTGACGGCTCTCGCTGTGTGCTACGTGAATGGATGCTAGAGAGTACAACGCACACTTTGTGAAAGAATCTGGTGTTTTGGAGTGAGAAAGAAACGTCCTGGGGTTCACTCACCTGTCATGTCACATCTGACAGTTCATTATCTAAGTTTAAATTATTATTGTCTGTGATACGTGTGTGTGAGTGTAGAAACAAATGTCCTGGGGTTCACTCCCCTGTCATGTCACATCTGACAGTTCATTATCTAAGTTTAAATTATTATTGTCTGTGATGTGTGTGTGTGAGTGTAGGCACGTGTGCCGTGACATACATGGGGAGGGCAACAGATAACTTTCAGGGATTGGTTCTCTTTCCGCTGTGGGATTTCAAAATCAAACTCAGGGTTTGTTAGGCAAGTGACTTTACCCTCTGAGCCATCTCGCCAGCACCCATGATATAGTTTTTAAATTTATTTTTATTTTTTAAAATGTGTATGTGTTGTGGGTATGTGCATGTGGACACAGGTGCCTACAGAGGCCAGAGCCATCAGATCTCCCTGGAGCTAAAGGTACAAGCAGCTGTGAGCTGGGTTCTGTGCCTGTCTCAGGTACCGGGAACCTAACGTGGGGCCGCTGGGAAGCAAGGGCATCTTAACCACTGAGCCATCTTTCCAGAGCCCCACTATATGCCTTAAACATAAATACTTCAGCCCTGGGAGGCATAGGTAGGATCTCCAGAAGAGCCACCCTTGATTGCAAAAAGGATTTCCAAGGTGCATGGGAAGCCTGTTTTTAGGCAAAGGGGGAAGGGGAAGACCCCATCAAAAATGAAAAAAAGCTTTACTCCCCCCCCAAAAAGTCAAACACAAACTTCTACCTCGGGATCCCATGACAAGTGTTCATTCACAAGCTGGCACACACGTGATCCCTGTAGAGTTGCTTCTAGGGACTCTGTCACATCCTTTCTTTCCTATTTTTCAATTAATAGTTACGGTGCAGTGCCTTCATG